ATTGATTATAGGGTATTGATCACAGGGTATTGATCATCACACTGATCACAGGGTATTGATCACATTGATCACAGGGTATTGATCACAGGGTATTGATCACACTGATCACAGGGTATTGATCACATGGTATTGATCATATTGATTATAGGGTATTGATCACAGGATATTGATCACAGGGTATTGATCACATTGATTATAGGGTATTGATCATCACATTGATTATAGGGTATTGATCACATTGATCACAGGGCATTGATCATATTGATTATAGGGCATTGATCACATTGATCACAGGGCATTGATCATATTGATTATAGGGCATTGATCACATTGATCACAGGGCATTGATCATATTGATTATAGGGTATTGATCATATTGATTACAGAGTATTGATAAGATGGAGGCGTACTGACCGGCCTGGGATCAATACACGGTATTGATCAGGGGATATTGATCACAGGGTATTGATCACATTGATCACAGGGTATTGATCAGGGAGATATTGATTACAGGAATATTGATCACAGGCTATTGATCACACAGTGGGAATGTCAGATTGGCACTGGGGGATGGGATTGGGAAGGGTTATTGATCACGGGGGTATTGATATGGTGCAGTCTGTTATATTGTATTATATTAATATAAAATTATAGTGTATATATATTTATATACTGGATTTGGGGTCACTGATTGGTGTGGACACGGTGCACTCTGTAATTCCTTTTTTCTGGGAATTCCATCACCTAAAGGGCAGGAATTGGGCAGAAATTGGGATTTCCAGGGCCTCACCTGCAGCTGCAGCAGCCCATGGACACAAACGGTGAAGATTCTGCTGTTGCTTTCCAGCCCAGCAATGACTTCCAGGGAGCTGAAATAGGAAATAAACGGATTAAACCCCACAGCTGGCTGGGCTGGCACAATTATCCCCCAAAATTTCCCCGGAATTCCGAGCAGTTGGACCAAAAAAGGTGAATTTTGAGTGGGTTTGGGATGTTTGGGAAGGGTTTAAAGCCGGGTTGGAGCAAGATTGGGGTGGTGGAAGGTGGGAATGCGAAGAATTTTGAGGTCCATGATTCCATAATTCCATAACTCAGTAATTGCAGGATTCCATAATTCCATAACTCAGTAATTCCATGAGTCCATAATTCTACAATTCAGTATTTCCATGATTCCTTAAATCCACGATTCCATAAATCTATAAATCAATATTTCCATGATTCCATAATTCAATCATTCCATTATTACATTATCCCATAATTCAATATTTCCACAATTCCATAATTCCATAACTCAGTAATTCCATGATTCCATGAGTCCATAATTCTACAATTCAATAATTCCATGATTCTATGCCTCCATAATTCCATAATTAAAAACAAACCAGCAGCAATCCCTGCCCAATTCCTGCCCAATCCCTGCCTGGCTGTGGAATTTTTCCCCTCCTCATTTCCAGCCCGATTTTCCACGGCTCATCCCAAAGCCCTGGGGGTTTTTCCAGGCTGCCATTCCCAGGAAATTCCACAGGGATTTTGTCCAGGCAGGTTCCTGTCCCTGCTGCCAGATCCTTCCCTCCCAG